AGGGTGAGTTTTAAATAGGGACAATTTTTAACGATTTTAAAGAGCCACAGCTACCAATATTTGGGTTTTAATTGGTTTTTAGTAGGGGAAATTTTTTGTATGATGTTTTAATACGCTGTGAGCCGCCCTGAGTCCCATGGGGAGAAGGGCGGCATATAAATCCTGTTAAATAAATAAATAAATAAATAAATAAAATACAATAAAATAATTTTGTAGCATTTTGGGAGCTAAAGGCAACTTTATAATTTTATTTTTATACATTTGTATTATATAATTTTATATAATTTTTAATATAGATTTGTGTCAGCCTTTGGAGGTAGTCCAGACAAGACACCCAGAAATACTAACCTGACTTTATTGTAAGAGTACATTGACAGAATACATCTCTCACCCCTCATCTTTATAGTCCAAGAAACCAGGGAGGTCCCTTCTAAGATATTTATTATGCCCCCATTTCTTCTGCAGATTTGGCTGCTATTTGTCTGACAGTTCTCTAGTCTGTGGTTTTTCCTCCAATCTGCCAAGGTCATTTCCCCATCGCATTACAGATTGTTATTGCATCACCCATCAGTTGTTTTTCTGTAGGCTAAGCTACTCAGATCCTTGAATTGTTTCTTAAAGAGCTTCCTTTCCAGAGCTTACATCATCTCTGTAGGCCTCTGCTGAACTTGTTTCAATTCGTCATGTCCTTTTTGCTAATCGGAATGGGAGACAGTACTTCAAATGGGTCTGACCTAAGCAGAGTTGAATGGAACAATTGCTTCCTATGATGTAGACCAGAGGTCTCCAACCTTTCTGGGCTTGTGGCCCGGAGGGAAGGAGAGCAGCTTCTAAATTGGTGCACGTGTGTGCACGCAAATAGGGCCACACACAAGGGCGCGGCACTAGCGGCCCAGTTCACACATGTGCAAACAGGCCGCACGTATCCACCTGGTGCTAGCAGTCACATTTGTGCATGCACAAACAGGCCACGCACACCCGCCCAGTGCTAGCGGCTCTGTTCGCACATGCGTAAATGGGCTGCACACACCCGCCTGGCACTAGCAGCCCTGTTCGCACATGCGCAAACAGGCTGTGCACGTACACCTGGCGCAAGCAACCCCATTCACATACACTCAAATGGGCCATGCACACTCACCCAGTGCTAGCAGTCCCGTTCGCATATGCGCAAATGGGCCATGCACACCCACCTGGTGCTAGCAGCCCCATTCACACATGCACTAACAGGCCACGCACACCCACCCGGCGCTAGCAGCCCCGTTCGTACATGCGCAAACTAGCCACGCACACCCGCCCGGCGCTAGTGGAACCATTCGCACCTGTGCACATGCACAAATGGTGTTGCGGGAGTGGCAGAGTGCGCACGTACGTGTGTGCACATCAGCCAGCCATTGCTGCGGCCTGCTGGCCAAGAGGCCGCGGCCTAGTAGTGGACCATGGCCCATAGGTTGGGGACCGTGATATAGACTCTATTCCCATTAATACATTCCAAGATAGCATTTGCTATATTGCAGATGCATCTCTCTGTTGGGTTCATATTTAACTTGTGACTGACAAGGACACTCATATACTACTGCTAAGCCAGATCTCCCCCATGTTGTAGAAGTGCTTTATATTTTTGCTACCCAGACACAAAACTTTAAAGTTCTATTTATTAAATTTTATCCTATTCATACTAGTCTTGTATTGAAAGTTTACAGTAGATATTTTTTAAAGGTCTCTTTAATCTAAATTATTAGCCACCTCACCCAGTCCTTTCTCATCTGCACTGATTAAAATGTTGATAAAACTCCTGGCTGACTTTTGTATCATGTCTCTGAACAGTGTATTAAATAACTTGATTCTTGTTCTATATTGTTTTTCAAAATTACAAGCTTAAAGCTTTTTCTCCCAAGATATTCCTCAAGTATACAGATTTCTGAATATAGTACAGCTAGAACAATGTGTTAAAAGTGAGACAGAACATTTATGTTACTGAGATAATTATATAAAAGAAAGGCATGTGTTTTTGGTCAACACTATAAATATCTGAGCTTTATGAGTCATCATCCAAACTTTGCCTGTAAGTTTTCTGTCGAGCCTCCATTTGGAAGTTTTAAGCATTATATCCATTTACATTTAGTCATTGTATCACATTACTATTTCTAGAATATTCCATTTGTAGCTGTAAAAAGCCTGTGCTCCACAATATCTAAATATCCAGTTGCCTTTGGAGCAAAAAAAAATCCATTTTGAAGCTTAGTTTAAGAGATTTTCATAATTTAATGACAGAATATTTGAGAGACAGATTGCCATGACTGATTTTTAAATACTTTACTTTTTCAGTAATATTGTTCTTATTCCTTTAGAAGCATATGTGTCATTGTAAAACAATCTGGTAAAAACATTCTACTTCTGAATTTTGGTTTCTGTTTTTGATATATAAGTGTTAATTACACTATAAACGTTAGCATATGCAGTATGAAGCTTTAGTTTGACTTTCCTATTTTAAAAATAGCTGAAGTTCATAGTATTGTTACTGGCATTAGTAACCAGGTCTTTTATTGTGAGGGAATTTTCCCACCTTTAATTTGTGTTAATTATAAGAATGCTTGCTTGCAGGCATTAGCACTGGACCAAGCCAATGAAAAGGGCTTGTACCGAAGAGGAGAGGCAAGACTGCTTATGAATGAATTTGAGTTGGCAAAATGTGACTTTCAGAGAGTGCTAGAAGTGAATCCACAGAATAAGGCAGCCAAGTCACAAATTTCCATGTGTCAGAAGAAGACAAAGGAGCACAATGAACGGGACCGAAAGATATATGCCAACATGTTCAAGAAATTTGCAGAGAGAGATGCAAAGGTTTGCACCTTGCCAGTATGGCCCCCTTCCAACCATTGTTAAATTACAGGGGTTCTTATGGAATTGTACAGAAGTATTGTAATAATACAATTTCCTTTGTTTGATGCATACAAAATGTCGAGCTTCAGTCACAATCATTTATTATAAACTATTTCCAGTAATCTGGTAGCACTGCTAAAATTCTTGTAACATTATACAAAAGTAGAAATGAAATAATTGCAGTCATGTTATTGTGACAGTAGAAATCATTCCTTTAAAGGATTTTTGTTTATATGTAATGGTAATCAAAATGGTTAGCAAAGAACAGTGAGGTTTTTTTTCTTCAATGACTTTATACTTTTTCATGCGCTCAAAGTGCAGCTTTATAATATAGAACATACGTACACATTTTATATACTTCCAATTTATAACTAGATATATATTTAGAATTTCAGAGGTTTTGTGAATTACTGTATGATTCAGAAGTTGTTTAAACAACTTTCATTTTCCATTCATACCCATCTTTGTTGTAGCAAATGTTAAAGTGTTCCTAGCAAGTAGTTTCTTTTTCGTTGATCAGTTTAGACTGAAAGACCTATTGTTTTTCAAACTTATGCTTGTACCTCTCCCCTAACTCCCACACGGGGCATTTGTTATTGGCTGTAGGAGGAGGCCAGTAAAACTACAGAAGAGAAGGAGGAAACGCCATCTTCAGAAATTGAGCTTAAGAAGACAGTGACTGAAGGCAGTGACTCAGAGGGCCATGTATGACTGTGCAGCAGAAGGACAATCCTGAATTTAGCCTGCACCCAGACAGGTTTCTGAAGAACTCAGAAATTCTACAGTGTTTAATGTAAAGTTTGTTTCAATAGGCATTATTGTGGAAGCAAAAGCCTATCCAGAAGCTTCACAAGAAATGATAAAATTACTGCCACTGCTGTGAACCATGCTCAGCAGTGCACCATAAACCGAGGACAGCAAGGGACCACATCAAGTGGAACAAATGGTTCAGCAACAAATACCCACAATGGTTCTTGATTATAGATGGCTAGACAGTGACCAGGATAGGGCCCTATGGTGATAGAATACAAGAGCTGTCAGTTGTATAGATTTGGCATTGCATTTGGTTGTATTTACGGTAGCACTACATGGGTTTATTCTGTATGTCAGAAAGAAAGGCCCAAGTGCTGCCAATTCAAGGTACCACTCTCATGTTAGTAGAGTCAAGTGGAAAACAGTTTTAAAAGTCAGACTCCTGGGATTTTATTCTCTCTGTCTTGTAGTTCCAATGGGTTTCTGTAGCACAATAGTTTCTCAGGGAACTGAGTAGTCCAAATCGTGCTATTATTGTGGTTCTTGTTATTAAATGATTGCTTGCTGGCAAGGTCGCCAGTCTGTTGATAACCGAGTATAGCAGAAATGCCAGCTTCTGGGCATGAGCATTTCCCCACCTCTCATTCCCCACTGGGCTGTAATATAATCAGCACCAAACAGCGCTGATTAGCTGCTGCAGGAGGAGGGAAAGGAATCTGGACTGAACCAGGCCATTTTTCCCCCCTCTCCAGGATCAGTTGGGTGTGGACATAGGGATGCTCAAGGACAGAAGCCTTTTTCGTTTTTACGCATTTTTCTTGCAGTGTGGGTCAAACGTATGCAGTAATCAACTTGAATTATGTGTTGAGACCTATTGAATGCATTGCTCAAGTTTATAGCATGATAGCAATCAGGATATTTTTTTAAAAAAAAAAGAAAAGAAAAACATTTTCTTTCAAAAAAAAATCATTATGATTAGTTTCATCAGTAATACGGTGGCAAGTTTTGCAACATTAAAAACACTTTTAGACACTAAATTTATAATTTGGTTTTAAAACTTTTTGCTCATTCTGGGAATCCTTCTTTAAACTCTTGTTTGGATCCTCCTGAAGATGTCAGCTTGTATTTGAATGCTTTGTAAAACAAAGTGGGTCCACTCTGAATGCTATAAATGGTAGGACTGGGTAGTGTTTTAGACATGAAGGTGAAAAAGTTGATTCAGAGTGCACAGAAGTGCAAACACCTATCTGCAACTCCTTAAACCAAACCCATCTTTTTCTAGAATCACACACCAAATCTTCAGGAGATCCCTGGAAAAGCTGAGGCTGCTTCAGAAAAAAGGCTTTGAATCTGAAGTGCCAAACCATTTTGCCTTCAGATTCAAAACACCACTCAGTCCTAATAAATATTTTTTCAATATTTTTTTTCAGGATAAAGCAGTGAGGTTTTGCTGCAGATGGCTCATATCAGTCTGCATTATATCTCAAACATTCATTAATAGCACTGAAATGCATTTGAGTGTTCATTCCTAGGGAAATATAATTTTACTTAAGCCCCATTGAAATGGCAGCATGTTTGCCTTATTGCTTTCAGTGGGGCTTATGAAACTATTTTTTTCTCTGGGTCTGGATCAACATGTTTACTGATCTGTGATGGAACATTACATTTCATTGTGCATAGAGCTGTACCTCCATTACAGAATGTATAGGGCATTTTGCTTTCCTGTATGTCAGATGGGCAACACTGCTATATTTTAAATTTGTTTAGTATTTTCAATGTTAATTTCACTGGGAATTTAACGTATGCTTAACTTTTTTTTCCTGGTGGTTTTCTTCTCTGATAAAATGCAGTTTTATTTTTTTTTCTTCCTTTCTTTTCTCATTGAAATTATTGTTCTCTCTTTCTCTCTTTTCTGCTACTATTCTACTGTTTAATCATATACAGGTAGTCCTCAACTTACAATAGTTCATTTAGTGACTGAAGATACAACGGCACTGAAAAAAGTGACTTAACGCCACTTTTCACACTTAACAACTGTTGCAGCATCCTTGTGGTCATATGATCAAAATTCAGCTGCTTGGCAACTGACTCGTATTTGCGACGGTTGCAGTGTCCCAGGGTTATATGATCACCTTTGGCGACCTTCTAACAAGCAAAGTCAGTGGGGAAGCCAGATTCACTTAACGACCGTGTTACTAACTTAATGACTGCAGTGATTCACTTAACAATGCTGGCAAGAAAGGTCGTAAAATGGAGCAAAGTTCACTTAACAACACTTAGCAACAGAAATTTTGGCTCAGTTGTAGTCGTAAGTCAAGGACTACCTGTGTTAACATGAACAGAGAAGAAATAAAATGTCATTGACATTATTTTTAAACTTGTAAGTGAAGCACGGGCTTCCTTTGTTTTAATAACATGGAGATATACCCAAACAGTCTCTGATTAGGAAAGCAGTATCTGTTGGTACTAGGCAGATCTTCTGATGGTGCTATCTGAAATTTGAATGATAGATTCTTGTTGGTTATTCTGTTCATTTAACGGAAACTAAATTTTATTTACCACAGCTAATACTACCTTTTGAATTGTTATATACCTCTCCACATATACCCAAATTTCTGTACAGGATGCTAAGAGATGGAAGGAATAATGTGGCTATCTAGAGTACACTGACCAGCAATTTTGGACGTGTGTCCCAATGTTCATTTTGTTACATAGCTGATTATATTATATTTCTATACCAAATTATAGCCTTCAACATTACTTTCATGAGCCATATTGACATAGTAGGGAGCAACTCTTTCTCAGATTTAGAGTGCAAATCATAATTCTCATTTTTGCTTTCTGTGTTCATAAACTGTATGAATTATTGAAAGTCTTAATATAATAAGCATCCACAATAAACAAGAAAGAAGATACAAATTCGTTCTGGATGAAAATTATCCAACAATAGCAAAAGAATAATTTTTTATGTTGCAATATTTCACCACTGACACGGAATTTAGTACAAGCAGTAATGTGTCTTGTTGTCTGGTATTTGTTTTTTCAAAGAGGAACATGAGCAAATGGAATGCCAGTCCTAGACTATAGATGGATATGTTATTTTGCCTTGTTTGAACAGCAAATTTTGAGAAGACTCAGCTTGATCTTCCAGATGATGTTGATGCTAGCCATGTTTTCAGTTTCACCATGAATGCTTCAGCTACAAGAAAGATTTTCTGTTTGAAACAGATAAAACTTTAATGAATAGAGGCCTCTCCCAGCTAGGCAGGATTAGTATATGCTATTGCCCTCCAAATATTATGTGGTATCCAAAATGTGTTCCAATTCTTTTAGAAAGGTTACTTTCTGTGGTCCTAAAATCTGACTGAAACAAAGTCACAGTTGTTTTAACCTTTTCACTTTTACCAGTTCCTATATTTTTATGCTATCTGTCATAATTTTAACATGGAATCCTGGGCTTCAACTAATCTTCCCTTTCATATCTGTACCATTACTCTCATTTCTCACCAAATTAACACTAAATTCACAACTTTGCTGAGGGCATCAGTTTAGTGTGATGTGGCTTGGAAATATATACCTCTAAGGTGGATGTTCAACATTTCCTGTTTTGCATCCTGTAGATTCTTAGCTTATTTTTAGTTATATGACTGTTGGAACATCAAGATAACTACATCTACCTCAGTAATGTGGCTTTTCTTTTGTTATTTAACTCAGCCATTTGATGCTTGATTACTTGCTCTAAATTAAGTTAGTTCTTTCAGAACTATTCTATGCTGAAGAGAAATTCAGTTATATTATTTCATATATCTGGATTATATTTTGCTATGGATAGTACAGAGAAAAAAAATGAAATAATTCAGTTCAGCCATCAATGAGATTTCTATGTGATTTTTCTCCTGAACTTTTTTTTAAAAGATGACCACATATTTTCCTCTTGTAACTTGCTGAATGATTGCTACTAATAGGAATCAATTATCCTTTGCTACCCAGAGGTTGCTGTATGTAGTTGCTTGAGTAAATTACTCAAAAGCTACTTTTGTTGGGGTCTCCTGTTGAAGAAAGAAGTATAATCATTAGCAGTATGAAACACAACTTCAGGAACTGTTTTTTTAGATATATCAATTGTTTTAAAAAACAATAATTGTTTTGTACAACTTTTAAATTGCCCCTGGATTGGACAAATGTTTTTACTATCTGTGGACTCTTAGAAACACTAATATATAGTGCTCTCACCAGAAACAGGTTTGCCAGTATCAATACTCCACTAATGGATCTTATATAATATGAGATAGATGAATTCTTCACTAATTCATGCAATCTTATTATGTTTTAATTTCTACTGACTGACATGGGCTTTGTATTCTGCTAAGAGTGGAATGGCCATAATCTAAATCAAGTTTCAAGATTTTACTAATCTGTTGTCTTATACGTAGAGAATACCAAATACTTAAATTTTTGTGTTGCTCTCTAGTCTTCATTTTTCTATTCCATTTTGCTAAAGGAGGCAAACTTTGACAACCGTATGATACCTAACATATTTTCATCTATTTCCATGAGGCCTTAATTCCACAGTCAATAGGTAAACTAATCTGGCCCATTATTCCTGATTGCCTTTTTTTCTTTTTCCTGTTGTGATGCCCATATTTAAAGGATCAATAAATTATATTTGACTTTGGTAGTTAGCAAAACATGCAGCTATTTGCCTATTTCTTAGATCACAGGAAAAGACCAGGACTTGTGCCTATAACTCTGATGGGCTCTCAGAAATATTCATAAAGAATGAAAATATTTCACTGTTTCAAAGTGCCTCTCAATCCTAACTTTGCAGATTATCACCTGTCAGTCTCTCACTTTGTGCCTGTTAGCCATGCTAAGTCCAATGATACGCTCAAGACGAAAATGCAGATTTATATAGTACTTCACAGAATTATGTCCAAAACAACCTGATTTTGCTGTCCACGTGGAGTATTTTCTGGGTAGCATGGCCTAGCAATGCCTGTTAGTGTCTTAAGAACATAAAGCCTGAAAAAATAGGCTTCCTTCCAAAGGAATATTGCTGCTGAGTGTTTTCTCTATAAATATTATAGATGTGTAGAAATGGTCAATTATCCTTTTTCTGTGTATTTTCTCTTGTGTCTATTTTCCTACTTTCTAAGTCCTCACCTATCCTGAATTACTTGTAAAGTGGAATGCCAAGTTAATAGTTTGAAGAGTTTTCAAATGAGACAGATGGATTTATGAAGGGTAGGTCTGTAAATAAAACTACTGACTAAGATGCAGCTTCTATCTTAACAGAGAACGTATCTTAGGTAACAGACAGTGGGAAGGAAATAAAGAGATGTTGCTGTCTTATTTTGCTTTGTGAGTCATCCTTCTGAAAGCATTTACCTGATCAATGTGGGAAACAGAATGTTGCTTTAGCTTTAATTTCTCCAAGCAATGTTTTACTTGTTTCACTCTCCAAAGTTTAGCTTACATATAAATATGTACTAAGCACACCAGAATTATGCAGGCATTGTATTATGCATCATGTTTTTCTTGAATCCTGGTAGATTCTGCCCCACTAATTGGAAAAGCTATCTTGGAGAAGCTGTATATTGGAGCTCAGCAAGATGGAAGATTGCAGTTAGTTTAAAATACCCAAGCTTCAGAGGTTGATATGTGAGAAACCAACATATTTTAATAGTATAAACGTATCAGAAAAAATATAAAACAGTCCTTCACAGTTTAAACTGTTAAAGTGGAACATCTCCTTTGCTAATCTCACAATTGACACTTCAATGACAGAAAACACAGGGTAACAATGGAAGCTGAATCCCAGTTGAAGTCACACAATGCCAATGTTCTGTGTTGCTTGCTTTTTTTTGAGAAGCCAAGGTTTATATTTGTGTTGTTACTCATTTATCTTACTTTACATTTGCTACTGTAAGAAGAGAACCAGTTTGGTATAATGGTTAAGGCATCAATCTAGAAACTGAGTTGTAGACTTCGCCTTTGGCACAAAATCAGCTGGATAAGTTTGGGCCA